GGGACAATTCAAATAACAAAAATTAAGAAGACGAGGACATCCTCTTAAATCCCAATTTTTTATTAGGTAAATTTATTATGAAGATTAAATAGACGAGGACATCTATTAATTCTAATAAGCTAATTCAAGAAATTTGTCGAGCATTACAACTAAAATAGAAGCGAAGTGAATAAATAATTAATATAAAATATGCTAACTCACCTAAAACAAATGGGGCACTACAACCTACCCTCCTTAAAAGATTTCCGTCCTCGGAGATATGGAAAACAGGCATCTAAAGGGAAACGATAGACTCGAATGGAATATTTCCAATCATGAGTCCCGGGGATCCCCGCTGAAACTCGACGCCGCTCGCATGAGTCCTATCACCCTATACCCAACAGACATACACACACATACATGACCCAATCCGACTCGCCCTACGCTCATATGTTTGCCTTCTTGCATGGGAGTGTGATCAATCCTGCCCGAACTCAGGCGTACATCCTCTTGCAAGGGACCCAGTCCGGCTTGGCCTATACCCATGAGTATCAACAACTTGCTCCGTACACAACAACACACAAGACCTCAACAGGTAGTTCGGTGTATTGCTAGCATACTCCGACTGCCTCACCATCAAGGTGGACACGTGGCGCCAAGCTTCAGTCTCGTGTCCGAGTCACAGTGATAACTCGCTCACGATTTCATCACGGTCCGTGCGTCTCTATCAGAGACTTCGACACGGTGCCACATATAGACAACACAACCCCAACATGCTCATACTCTCAAGATATCGACTTCACGAGTCAAACGTAGCCCTTATGCGCGACATAAGGCTCCGTCTAATGGCAACACGAACATACCAATTTGCCGACTCGAGAATCTCTAGAGGAAGACATGCGAACTCTATGACTACACCCCTTAATCAGATTTATACGCATTTTAGTGGAACTTGAAGCTCTCGGTTCAAGGTTCGATCGAAAAGGGTTCAAAAGGATAAACAAATATTCCAACATAAAACAGTTTCAACAATTCAGGAAGGACATCGATGGTTCGGGGTTAGTGCACTGTCACGCAAGAGGCGGCACGCCCACTGGCGCTGCCTAAGCGGGGTGCTGGGATGCGCGCGTACACACCTACTCGGAGACCAGCTGCAAGGTCGAGGTTTAGCCGCATACGCTGGCTCGCGGAGTTCGTGCGTTAGGTGATGACGGCTGCAGCTCTCGTGCGAGTCAACGGTCGGCCCCTAGGTAGGACTCACATCTCTCAACACGGCATGCGTGCTCATCCACCACTTCGCATGGCTACACCCGGTTAGGGTGGGCTTTTGGTCCAAGGTTCCACAAGTAATTGAAAATCCAAGACAATCCAAAAAGTAATTGATTTTACCGAATTTCAAAATACTTGGGTTCAACAAAACAATATATATTTCAGGCATTCCATAATTTTTCAAAAGTTCAAGGGTTTTAGAAACAACAAGGTGCAGGTTCAAGTTCCAAGTCCACTTCTTTTCCAAACGACACATTCTAATACATGAAAAGATCAACGATTGATATAAACGAGAATTCTCAAAGAAATTTTAATATAGTTATTCAGTCGAGAATAATCCCAAATCAGCAGCTCCTGCCGAGAGATACAATAACTAGCTCGCCTCGACTCATCCGACTAACAGCGTTGGTCGTCACGTCAGCCCTCCCAAAACTCTGAAAGAAGTAGAAGAACGAGAGTTTCTACGATGGACAAAATTTCAAAACAAGGACAGTTCTACACCTCACGAGGTGCTTGTTGAACTTGAATATCCTCCTTAAAAGATTTCTGCATAATCTTTTAAGGTGGAAAGAGACACTCCTTGATATGTGTCAAATCACTCCCTCTTTCTTATCGAACCGAATTGGGCTGGCGTATGCCCCTGTACATTCGTCTTGCTGACAAACGTGGATAATTATTGTCTTCCTCGAGATAACTTAGAGATGACATCGCGATTAAAATCATATACTTCGCAACGAATAAGGACAAACAGAAACAGAGAGGTTCTTAGACTCATTTGCAACAATGTCAATACCCAACATGATAAATAAGAATCGGTTAATCCTCAAGAGAAATGAAATTTAGGGTTGGAAAGCTTGAAAAATTGTTTACACGACGAAACCAAGGTAGGGGTTTGAACATGGCTATACCCCAAACAAAACGAGAAGAAGAACTAGGTCAATCGTAAACCTCCGGTGTCTATTGCATTCCCATGAACGGCACCGGTACTCGTTCTCTTGAACTTTTCGCATCGAGTTAGAGGTATCACGTAACAAGTTTCACAAGATAAAGACCAACAGAAAATTAAAATTTCGACGCTCCATTCCATCTGAAATTCTACGCCATAAAGGGGAAGATTAAGCGAAATTCCCAAAGTATGAAAATTGAATAACAAAGAGAAGCCTCAAGCATAATTCGACGTCGCTTGTCTTGCGAAAAGGGAATAAGCAAAGGTTTGCAAAAGTCTACAAGAAGACAAAAATTTAAGAAAGAAAACAAGACTGCTTCGCCTCCACGAGTCTACGGTTCACGACCTCCATCATCAATTCAAATTGTTCCACGACGAATTCAATAAAACGACCAACTCATAGAACCAGTATACGAACCAATATATACCCGAGTAACCAATGGATTTTCAAACCCAACCAATGAAAAACGAATGAATTAAAACAGGGAAAAATTCAACCATTATCTCGAAATTCTCAACCA